CCCTTTAAAGCTGTCACCACTGGAAGGGTCTTAATCTATTATCCTCTCACAAATGAAACTTCACATTGCCTTTTTGTTTGGAAGACAGATTCAGTCCTTTTTAGTGAGAAATAACCTTAGCATTCTAGTAAGTTTAAGTAGTAGTAGCTTTTCTATATATTTCTTTAAAGTGTACGTATGAGTGAATTCAATCATAATCAGTTGGATTCTTACTGAAGGGTATGGGGGAATCTGGCTCCCTTTGGCTTCAGTGGAAGAAGAATGGACTCTATATGGGTTTTTAATGAATTGTTTGCATGAAAGGCACTGACTAAACTTTATTGTACTGTAACATAGCTAACTTCAATAGAAGTTTTGTGCCTTTTTGTATATAACCTTGTCATACTCTGATTTTGCAAAATATATCTTCAAGGGGTGACGTAACTACTGTTGAGGCAGTTACCACCAACTACAAAGCACTATTAAAATTCCATGTACACTTGATAGCAGCCAGTGTTGAAGTTTGTACATATACTACTTTAGCACTTGCAAAATGGGATCTGTCCTGAAATCTCATTTGTAAATATTTTACAGTATTTCTTAATAGGGGATGATGGTGTTCAAAAATGTTATTTACTAAGGCTTATTCAATTGCATACTGAGAGGATAAATCTAAAGCTTACAGTTATCAGGATGAAATTTGTTTCCCTATGTTTAGAGGACTTACCAAGAAAATAGTCTAAATAATAGGAAAATGCTCAGATTCTGTGGAGATTTCCTGGGGTCTCTGGACTGAATGATTTTGATCTTATATGATACTAACTTTCAGAGGAATAATATGTTAGTGAAAGAAATGTAATCTATTTAGATTCTAAATGGAGAGTAAAGAAAGGAGGAGGCCTGAGTCAGTAAAACTACCATTGTCTCATCATTTACTAATGCAAAATTGAACAGGGAAATAAAGACTTCTAATCAAAGTTTGAGCCCAGATCTTTGGTTTCTATGCCAGAACCCAGAACTACTGCTTTCACTGGAAGATGTGGGTTAAACTGAGAGTTTATAACTTAGTGGGTGGGACATAATTTGGAGTGTTTTTGTTTAAACAACTTATTTTGTAAAAATCTAATAAAAGCTTTTATTCCCATGGAAGCTCTGTTCTTCATGGTAAGTCATCTTTTAATGGACTTGCTTGAAACTTCCTATTGTTAAGGCCATTTGGGCATGGATTCTGCAAGTGTTTTAGTGTGACTGGTGCTGTTGGTCATGCATGTGTTTGTTTCATACACCTACTACCTGTACAAACTTAGACTAAGAAAAGGTTCTTTGGGCTCTAAAAATATGTGGGAGCTAAGAACTCCAGGCATGTTTTCCTCTTCAGTGTTTCTCAGGACATCTGACTCCAAGATGTAATACCCTGGATGAATGGAAACCTGGTCCTACATTATCAGTAGAAGTTGTGAATAATTATTTAGTAGTTCAGATCTATACAGTAAAGTCATGCTACTGTAAACCAATGTTGTAGTTTTGGTTAATAGGGCATTTCTGATGCATCTTTCACCTGAGAATACAAAATGCATAAATTAGCATCAAGCATAATGCCATCTATGATAGAAAGCTAACACATCTTTTTCCTTGCTGTAGCAAGCTGCTCCCTCCCCCCTGCCATAATTTAAACCTTGGCAGTGAAGTGCAGCTGCAGGGACAGTGAAAGTCAAGAGAAATTACAGAAGTTAGGATGTTGAATGTGCTTTGAAGGGGGTGATATTTAACTCTTTTTAATCAACATTAAAGTACAGCATAATACTGTTTTGATAAGTTCTGTTGAATCGTTATACCGTAACTATAAAAAATGCAAGAGAACACTGTCTTATAGACAGTTCTAATGTCTATTTAGTAATTCAAAGACTATTTTCTGTAACCTCAAATTTTGCTTTAAGTCTTTGCAGCTCAGTCCAGTTTTTAAAATCTTTTGGTTGCAAGGCAAAGGTAGTATGGCTTACCCATTATGCCCTTACTCTTCTCACTAGTTTTCTAAGTATGTTTGTCAGAACAGTATTTTAAAATAACACTGTATATTGACAGTCCTGTATCCCAAATGAAATACACCAGGAGTTTTCAACCGGGGGTACTTAGGAAGGCCCCACGGGGTACACGGCAGCAGCACAGAGAACCCGGTGCCACTTTCAGTTTCAGCACTGCGCAGGATACCCTTCCCCTGCTCATTGACCAGCCACCGGGGGACCCCCCCCTCCACTCATTGATTGGCTGCTGGGGGTACCCCAACCAAAAAAGGTTGAAAAGCCCTGAAATACACCATTAAGAACGACAGCTTTACTTAATAGTTCTTCCTAAAATAGTCGTCTGAGTGAACTCATAGAGCTCGTTAGCCCTTATTCTCAGTGAAAACACTTACTGCAAAACTTCCTATTTCTTTCACTACCTAGTTTCACAGATTCATAAATTGTAAGGCTGGAAGGGACCTCAGAAGATCATCAGGTCTAGCCTCCTGCACCAGGCAGGAAAGACAGCTGGGATCAGGCGACTCTAGCAAGGTAACTGTCTAGTCTTCTTTCGAAGATTTCCAGGGTAGGTGATTGCACCACCTCTGGAGGGAGCTTCTTCCACAGTCTGGACACTAACTGTGAAGTAGTTTTTCCTAATTTTGAGCCTGAAATGGTCTTCCAGGCATTTGTGGCCATTACTCCTTGTTTTCCCTAAGGGTGCCCTGATGAGCAGTTGTTCACTGAGCCCTTGATGTACGTCTCTGATATAGGGGTAATCTGCTACCAATTCCCCTCCTAGCCTTCTCTTTCTCAGGCTGAAGGGTCCCAGGTCCCTCAGCCTTTCCTCATCTGGCTGGCCATGCAAGTCTCTGATCATATGGGTGGCCCTTCTCTGGACATTCAAGTTTTACCATGTCCTTGTTAAAGTGCGATGCCCAGAACTGGACACACTACTCCAGTTGGGGTCTCACCAATGCAGAGTAGAGTGGAAGAATCACTTTCCTGGTTTTGCTGGAAATGCATCAATTGATGCATGCCAGAGTAGTATTTGCCCTGCTGGCAACAGTGTTGCACTGCTGGCAACTTATATTATATTCATATTGTGGTCTATTATTACCCCCAGGTCCCTTTTGTTCGTGGTGCTGATCAGTTTGGTGGCACCAAGCCTGTAGGTGTGTAAGGGGTTGTTCATCCCCAGGTGGAGTATCTATAGCCTATCTTCAAGTGTGACCATGCTTCCCCATAATTTGGTGTCATCTGCAAACTTGGCTGGGGTGAAGTGAGCTCTTCAGCCCAGCATCCAAATCATTGATAAAGACGTTTAATAGCACCTGTTAAGCACCACTTCAGGATTACTTCAAGAAAAGTTTTCCTGGGGAAAGGAATAGAGGTACAAATGCAATTCACCACCTAAAGAGCTCAGCTGCTTACAACTTTGAGAAGAGCATGCAGGAAAAAATTAAGCCAGACAGGATGATCAGTAGCAACCACCAAATCATAAGTTGTTCCTAGAGAAGGGATTGACAGGGCCAGAGATCTGGGTGTATAGTTCAGAGCTGCAGAATGGTGTTCTGAAATAAATGCCTGCCTTTGTTAGTATTTCTGTAACAAGTATCTAGATGTTTTTGGCCACAAGCTGCTTCATTTAATTAAGCATTTGTTTTCCATTGCATGAACATGGCATTGTGTCTTGTTTCTTTTTATATTGTTATGCCTCTGATGTTAACCTCCAGCCATAAAAACTTTCTTGAACAATGGGATTCTCAGTTTGGTGCTGGCAGCTGAGACTTAACTCTTGCCACATATTGAGAAAACGACAAGCTACCAAAATACAAGCTTTTTACCTTTAGTACCAAGTATGTATAAATTATACTTTATTTTGTGGCAAAAAAGGCTAAGGTTACAATTTCTTGTATAAAGCCTCTTTTCTTCTGGCAAAATAATTTTATATACCACAGTGTAAGTTTTTCCATGTATGCATAATGCAATATATTACACAACACTTCTACATTAAATAGCAAAATAATCAAAGGTTACAATTCTAAGACATTGCATTCCATTTGTCTCTTAATGTTCCCATTTTCTTAGGAAAGTGCATTTCTGTCAGTAGGCCACATGTAGGTAAAGGCTGAGGTTTAATCTTAGAAAACTGGTATTATTCTACTGTGGGAGGCTTGTTCAAATAACCTGTAGATTGAAGCAATTAAAAGTCCCATGCATAATGTGTTCCAGTGAGCAGGGGGATGGAATCCCTGCCCCCCCCAACTTTAAGAATCAACAGTCTTTTATATTGAAATACACAACACCACTACAATTTCTTAATGAAAATAATTTTGCTTAATTCAGAAGACTGGGCACATCTACACATGCATATTAATACGACACAAATTCTGATGCATATCATGCTGGATTTTATTGCTCCTGGGCACCAGGTTTGCATGTACACCTGGGACTGCAGCACCTTGAGCTGGGTTGGAGCAGCCTCAGCTGGCAGGGGTGTCACAGGGAGGGGTGGTGGTGTCAGCCTGCTAGTCTGGGGCTGCTCTTATCTGGCTCAGTGTGCTGCGGAGGGGCTGGCTGGGGTAACAAGGGTGATTCACTGTGGAGCTAGCTGGCAGGCAGTCAATGCACTGAAACACCCTCATGCCCAGCCTGCAAGGCATCAGCATCTACACATGTGCTGCACCGTAAAAAACTGCAGCAGGGTAGTACTTGTATTTACAAGTACTACCCTGCTGTGGAGTTTATTAGTTTCCTGTGATGCCGAGACATTTATTGCAGAGCTAATTAGTCAGCTCTGCAGTAAACATACGGTCATGCCCTATATTCCGTAGTTTAATCTGCCTAGGATGACTCCCAATAACTGCTATAGTACTTGGGGGGCATTAGGGTGAATACTTTCTCTTTGGTATGTACACTTATAGTGGCCTTGAACATCCTAACCTTTTCTTTCTGGATCCATTATCTAATTTTTTTTTATTTATTTTTTTTAACTCGTCAAGTTCATTTCATAAAAAATAAATTTTATCTTACCATGTATGTTTGTTCCTTTAATTTGAGTCTTGGGAAAACACTAAGCTTGAAATGTACAAACATTACTTCTTGTAATGCTAATTAATGAGAGCCATGTTAAAGAGATTGCATGACTATCTGTTACTGTTAAGTGCTGTTGTCATTGTTTCAGTTTCCTACACTCCCTTGCCTCCAAGGAGATGGAGTTATGACACCATTTTGGCTGTAGACCAGAAGATGGCTATACAGGCTTGTCTTCACTTGAAAACTAATATGGATTAATAGAAAGTATGAATCAAAGTACAAAAGCTGTTCCTGAATATCTCCATGTGTGGACAATTTTATTCTAGAGTAAGCATGCCACCTTCCTATTTAACTTATTCCACACGCAGAGCTGATCAGGAACAGATGTATGCATAGAGAAGCCTGACACGACCATCTCCCTAGGCTTTTTTTCTAAGGCACATTCTCAACAGAGTAAAAGCGAAGCACCATATTCCCAGTTCGAGTATACCATAAATTAAAGTTTTGATGTACCTAGATTTAAGGCATTTATAAAGCAGCAAGATGCTTCTTAGCATTTGGGACTAATTTTCACTCAGAACCAGTCCAAGCGGATTAGACTGTGGATTGGGATATATCACGCGCTAGCTAAAATGTCAGTACTTGAGGTGTCTTAAAATACATTCTGCTACACTTAAGGTTGTAGTCACAGCATGCTTCTATAATGTCTCCATCCTAGTAATATTCACAGCTGTTTCCTGTGTTCTTTGATTCAGCAACTACAGTTCATCCTCACTCTGGAAATCCTGTTCTTAGAAGATCTCTTTAAGTACAATCCCTCAACATTCAATATTGCCAGCTAGATTCCCAAAAATGGAATATGCAGGGGCCACTCTGAAGAAGACAGACTGGTGTAACTAGTTCTGCAGTAATGTTGCCACTATTATCTAATCTAAACTACCTGTTCACTTGTTATGTTCTTCAGAGTTCTAACCCCATGGCGATGTTGCAGTTTTTTAGTGCAAAAAACACTAAGGGAGGAAACAACTTGGCTCTCAATGTCTTGTGCTGCAAAACAGCTCTTTTTGTGGTCCCAATAGTTTTGGCTTTCCTGGAAGGTCCTCAAAGATGACTGCCATTGGAGGGTGGCAAATTACACAGATGTGAATAGTCAGAGTCAACATTCTCTCAAAAGCTACAGTAAGTAACCTTTTCTTGTATTTAATACAAAGGTTTTGGTTCCAGAGCTTCAAATTTAAAATAAATACTAACCAGTCAGTATTAATACAGAAAGACACAGTACATGAAAAGTACTTATGGTGCAGTTTGTCAGACATTTATAACCAAGTCATACCTATTAAATTACTTTTGACTAAGCAATGGCTTCCCATCCACAAATACATACAGTGCCTTAAAAATATTTTCATCCTTTTTAACCCACTAAAAGCAACAACTGTATTTTATAGCTGAAATTTACTGATTTTTAAAGGGATCAAATGGTTTGCCACTCCATTTTTCAGATAAAGTATTTCTTTAAAAAATAATAATTTAAAAATCCTAGAGACCCTTCCCCCCCCACAATCAGTAACTATGCACAAGGAAGCTTTACCGGCACTCATGATGTTCCTTGATAATAGCGTTAAAGGTGTTCTGGTGTAAGCTTGTCTTCACTCTTTTTTCCCTCTGTCGTCGATTGCAAAACCAAACTCTGACAACTTCCTTCTCAAGATTGAGTCCTTCAGCCATCCTCATGATCTCTTGAGAAGAAGGTTTACTTTGTTCTCCAAAGTGTCTCTCTAGAGCTTCTTTTGCAGCAATGCTGGATGAAAGAATCATGTTTATTGTCAATAACTCTCATATATCAAGGCAGCTATTTTAGGATAAAGTTAAAGGATGAACATTGAAAATACAGCACAAAAATAAGAATGAGAAAATGCACCAAGTGCATTTGAGGTATTTGTTGATATAGGCTTCAAAAATTGAATAGACTTTTCAGTGTGGATTATTTTAAAGGAAGAGATACTAAGGTGGTTTCTCTAACTGTACAGGAAAACCACTAAACATTCATCCTTTACATCCTGTGCAGGCTGTACCTGGTTACTAGAAAGAAATATAATTATGTGTACATTCAGAAGTGTGACTAGCCATTCCATCTAGTAATAGGCAGCATCTTAGCTATCCAGAAGACACAAACATATATGGAGATACGTGTACATGATACAATTAGTCTCACTCAAGGATAGAGTTGCAACAGTGAATGTCATTTTCTAATCAAGTTATGTATCCCCTTACATGGGTAGACCTTTAACATTTTAAGAATTGTAAATTACATGGATCAGTATAATTTGTTCCAACCAACACATGTCTCAAAAAGTCTAGTTTAACCTTTTTGTTTGATTAATAGTCACCAAAGGTATGTTTTGGCTGTGCAGGTCAATAAATACACTAAGTTAATGACAGCATTTTTCCCATATTTCTGGAAAACTAGGATGGATATTGAAAGAATGTCACCTTTCTTGGTACTTCTTTTGTTCTTGTTGCTCTAAAAATAATCTTGGATTCACTTGTATAAAAAAATGTACACGTTACTGTTTTGTGTTTCCTTTTTAGAGCCAGTTTTACCAGTACCTTATATTATTTTGGCCACAAGGGGGCACTCTGTGATTTACTCTTGATATGAAGTAGGACTAGTTCTCCTAAAAAGGTGGAAGAAACTTCAGCCAAAATTCTAGTTCCTGAAAACTTTTTCAGTTGTACCTTTAAAATGAACATTGAAGTTCTGTTTTAATTATCCTCGCTTCTTGAAATGAACTAATCAAAAATCATAATGTTCTATGAATGCATGGCTGTAGAATCATCAATGTTTAAACAGCTTTTAAAGGATAGAACGACAGAAAATATTTCCCATACCCACATTATATTGGTCCTGGACTTGATAGCAAGTTACTGCTATATCAGAGGAGGGCATCAGGAGCTCGGTGAACGACTCTTCACTAGGAAACCCCCAGAGAAGACCAGGACCAATGGATACCAACTTCTGGAAGGCTGCTTCATGCTTAGTACCAGGAAAAACTCCTTATCAGTCACTGTCCAGACTGTGGAATAAACTCCCTCCAGAGGTGGTGCAGTCACCTACCCTGGAGGTTTTCAAGAGCAGACTGGACAGTCACCTTGCTAGGGTCACTTGAACCCAGTTTTTTCTTCCTGCCTGGAGTGGTGGGACTGGACCCGATGATCTGCAAGGTGCCTTCCAGTCCCTGACAATCTATGAATTACAGATAATTTGATCTGGGTGTCCAAAGATCCAGCATGAGAACTACACTAATGTGGTCCTTTTCTTTTCCAGTTTCTGTTATGTCTTCAGAAACATATTTATGGACAATTCCCACTAACTTGGGTGGACTGTAGATAAAGATTAAATTTTCTGATTGTTTTTGATATGATTCCCAAACAAGGGTCCAACATTCCCAGAGTTATCTGCACAGATTCCTACAAAGTGCCTGGACTTTTCCTGCACTGTGTGTGTAACTGTACAAAGCTGTGTTTATTTATAGAACAAGGAGAAGCACTTAACTTGCCTGGTGTACAGATCAAGTGTTTGATGATTGCCAGCATGGTGCACCAAACAAGTAATACAGGAACAGAGATACAGGTGTCAGATGAGTGGTAGCCTGCCATAGAGAAGTGCAGCTACACGAGACACAACTTCACATTAGCATAGTTTACTGCAAAATAAGCATGTGCATCTACATGTGTTCATGCTTACTTCACAGTAAACCTCCCTAATCCCAAATAAATTCACTACCTGCAAATGCAAGTAGCAAATTTACTTGAGATTAATAATGGTGTCGTAGTACTTGTGTAGACACCTGACTGGGAGCAAAATCTGCTCCTGGTCAGCTGGCCACCAGCAGCGGGAGATTGCTCCCTGCCCCCAGGAGCTACCTGCTGCTAGGGCAGGCTCTGCCACAGAAGCTTGAGCAGAGAATATGTCCCCCCATCCCAGCAGCAGCCAGCTCCATGCCTCCTGCTCCAAGATCATGATCAGGGAGCAGGCACTGGGAAATGCTCATCTCCCAGCCCCAGCTCCATGGTCCCAAGGCCAGTGCTGAGAGACCCTCATCTCCTAGCCTGAGCTCCAGGATCACAAGGCTCAGGTTGGGAGATCCTTATCTTCTAGCACCAGCTCCACAACTGGGGTTTGGAAAGAGCTCCAAGAGTGCAGTAGATCCCAGCCCCCTGCCCAGATCTGCTGGTGGGGCAGCTACTAGTGAGCCACTTCAGCAATTATAGAAAGGGTCTTGGGTAAAAAAAACACCTTTGAGAACCCTGCCGATTGAAAATCACATGAAGAGGCATTCTCATCAACAGAAACCAGTCTGGAGAAAAGTTACTCTTAAAACATAATTTGTATGCATCCTACACTCTCAAGAATAGCAGCAGAGCTGTGAAGGCTGTCTTTACACCTTAGGACCATGACTTGCTAGGGAATGGGCTGGCATGGAAATCAGCCCTCCTTAGCCTCCCAACACTAGTTGGTCATAGAGGGTGCTTATACGTGTAACAAAATTGCCCTTTTTAGCAATTTAATCATGTCACACTTTACACATGTGGCGGTGTCACACTGTACGCATACAGCGGCATACTGTAAATTAAATTACTTTGTTATGTAGCAAACTAAAACACATCCTGGTGTATTTTAGTTTGCCACGTAACAAATTGCAACAATACATCCATTCCCAGGACCTCCTACAGATCAGAAGCCACTTGGCCCATCAGCAGCACTCTCCCCAGCCACAGGCAGGCTCCATGGGGGGGGGGGGTAAGATGCCTGGCAGGCTTCCAGCACCCAGTGCACTGTCCCCGCCACCTTCCCACCACCTGGGACCAAGCTGGCTTGCCCCTGGGGCAGTGCAGGAAGGCAGCAGGAGTGCAACTGGGTGTGCTGATGGCTGGAGAAAGTGGCAGGGATGGTGCATAGGGTGCCGGAAGCCCAGGAAAGCTCAAGGAAGCTTGGGATTGGGATTCCAGCACCCTGTGCACCATCCCTGGCACCTTTCTCCAGCCGCTGGCACATCCAGCTGCTCTTCTGCTGCCTTCCCACGCTGCCCCAGGGGCAAACCAGCCCATTCCCGGGTGGTCTCAGGAGACAGGAAGGTGGCAGGGACAGTGCACAGGGGTGCTGAAAGCCTACCAAGCCTGAGCGTCCCCAAACATGCCCATGCTTCTGAAGTCCTATGCACCTTTGGATCAGGCTGGGTGCTGCCTTCAAGATGGGGCAGCATCTGAGCAGCTAGCACTGCCCGGGCAGGCCTGGGAGGCACTGCCACTATGAAGGGAAGCACCGGGCCCCCCTGCAGCTCAGGGGCTGAGAGACCTGGTGGCAACTCGCATAGGCAGGCTCCGCCAAGAAAAAAAAAAAGCAGCGAGGGGCCCCCACTTTATTTTTTCTGACGGACCCTGCCCACCTCTCCTGCAGCCAGGGGGTGAGTTGCCAGCAGTGTCTGAGCTGTAGGGGGCCCAGTCCTTCCCCCTGTCATGGCGGTGACCCCCTCTCCCCACACAGGCCACCTGGGCAGGATGCTAGCGGGCCAGGGGCAAGCTTTGCCTGGGAACAAAAAGAAAATGAAGTGGAAAGGGGTCTGATCCTTTTTTTTTCTGGTGGAGCCTGCCTGCAACTGGTGGCGTCTGAGCTGTTGGGAGCTCTGTTCCTTCCCTCTGTGGCAGCGTCCCCTGGGGCCACTGGGGCTGGGTGCTAGGGGCCAGGTGCTGGCTCTGAGCAGCTCTGGGCTCACTGGCAGCTTTTACTTAAAAGCCCACCAGTTCAAAATTCACCATTTCAATTTAGGGAGAACTAAACCCCGGCCTTGTGTACAAGCCGCCAGAACTAGCAGGCAGTCCCACTCTTACTATCAGCCCTATTTGGAAGAGCTGCTGGGAAGGACAGGTACCACCACTGCAGGCCCTCCATGTATTGAGAGTCTGAGCTCAGCACTAGTTCAGGTTTTCTGTGAACCTGTACTGCCTGTCAGCATCAGCTACTACCCAAAGGTATCTTAGTGTCGGCCTGAGGCGGAAGAGACTCTAGCCAGCATTGGCTTCCTTTTAGTATTTTGGATTTCTCACCTCCTAATGACTGACTATACACAACAAAGACAGTGGACCCCCCCATTTATGCAGTTAGAGGCATTTGTGTTTTTGAATGATTCCTGGGTGAATTCGCTTTCCTAATGGAAGAGAGCAGAACATCTTAGTGGAGAGGGAAGTCCCCACTGCAATTCCCAACATGTTTAGTTAACAGGATTCAACCTATCCCCATTTCATATTGCTTTGTTTATTTATGTATGTTTATGTGCAATCGCTTTAGTAATGTGACATTTAAACAACAATGGGATTCCAGCCTGCTCTGCTTCCATATGCAGAGGGGGCTGAACTTAAGTTAAGAGAAACATGAAAAACACCCCCAAAAAGCCAGCTCTAAGCATGCTTCCTTCTTTCTCTTTGCCCAAAAAACCCTACTGCAGAAGCTCTGCTGGTCTAGATTCCTAGCAGGAGGATGGAAAATTAGGAGAAAAAAATGTATCATTTCTTTAGGTGGTTCCTAAATGGGATCTATTTTCATTTAATTAAAAATTGTACTTTTCATTGACAACTTCCAGTTTTTTCTTCTAATCCTAGATAAGGCATTTACAGGAAAATATAACTTATGTTTTTAATCCAGTGGAGGCATCTCTAAGTAAAAAGGACTTCCAGTACAAAGTTTCCTAAAGTATTTATTACCTTATGGTAGTTCTGCGCTTCCTTTTTCGCTCATTCACTCCGACCTTTTCATTGTACAAAGCTATATCAAATAAACAAAAAAAAAAGATCTTCAATACAAAATGAAAGCCAAGCACAATCTTTGACAGCAATAATTGTTACTGATATTTTAATAGTGGAGAATGCCAGACACTGGAGATGCATACAGAATACAGTTGACACCTTGAAATCCTCTCTCTCTGGGCCATCTGGTGGCTGAGTGACATAACTTCAGGATTCAGAAACAAGTGATGGTTTATAATGTAAAAAAGCTGAGGGGATCTTTTCATGTTTGGTTTAAAGCAGGTTCATGATTTCCACCCCCTACCTTTTTTAAGAGTTTGTGCTTAAAATACGTTTGACACTCAACCCTGGATAATGTTCCTCTCAGTGGACTCTTAGCACAACCTGGGCCTGGCAGGCCACTGGAACTAGTCTTTGGCATTTTCAGGAAGCCAACTGTCAAAAAGCATGTATAAGAGCATCCGCCCCAGCTCCTGCTGTGTACACATAAAACCACAGGTCACCCCATAAAAAATAACCCACTGTGTGCCACAGGAGAAGCAAGGGGGTGGCATCAATGCAGAATTTATTACGTTGAATGAGCTCATGTGATCCTAGGAAAAAGATTATGCTCACGACACATAGGAAAGCAACAGTCCTTTCTGATCTAATGTTAAAGGACTCTTCTTTCCTGACCCCAAATCTGATGCTTTCTTTCCCCCTGAGTGAGCCAGTACAATTTAAAAGCACAGCCCACCCAAGCAAAACCTACCTGCAGCAAATACTTCAAACAGAAGAGAAAAGGAAAAGCAGCAAACTAATGCATTCAAGGGGAAAAATTTCTTTCTGGCTCCAGCAGGAGACCAGCAGAACCCCAAAGCATGAAATTATTCCCATATCCTTTTGTTTGGAATATCATTCCCAAATTTCACTCCTCTAATGGTTAGAAACCTTGTTCCAATTTCCAGAGTAAATTTGTTCATAACCAGACTGTGGTCATTTGTGTAATTATTGCTTTTCTGCTTTCCTAATATTCATGTACTCATACACATATATATTCATGGTCTCTCCCCTCACTGTTACCTAGCTCAACATACCAAGCTCTTTTAATCTCCTCTTATGAAATAGGTTCTCCATTCCCCTAATCACTCTAGTAGTCCTCCTCTGCACCTGTTCCAGCTTAATATTCATTTTTTAATATAGACAAGAACTGTATGACTAGAAATGTACACAATATTCTAAACGGAGTCTTACACATGATTTTTACTGTATTACTAATCCTTCCTTGTGCCTGCTACAAATAACCAACTTAATATGCCATGAATTGCATTAGCCTTTTTTTCCTGGCTGCATTAAAAAAAAAAGGCTAATGCATCATGGTGTACTTCAGTTCATGGTATGCATCAATAGCACGTAGCCATCTTGCAATCAATACAACCAGGTCCCTCTCTTCCCTCATTACCAGAAAGCTGTTGACTCCTATTTTACAGCAGTAGTTCTGGGTACCATGCACATGACTTAGCACTTTGTACTATTGATAGGCAATCATCAATCCTCTGGATCATGGTGTACACATAAGAGGTCTAGTCCGATATCTGATGAATAGTACAACATAGTTATTTGTATCTTATGAATAGTACTGTACAACACAGGTATTTGTACTATTAGATTCTTGCTATTTTTATTATTCCCCTGTATATGGTGACCTAGTTAGTCCTATAATTGCTTCCCAACTTTGTACCATCTTCCAGTTCCATTTGGTTCAACTGTGCTATTCTGTACCTTCACATGGGTCTAACAGGTTTCTTCTCCATTACCAAAAAAAGTCATTTGACCTTACTGAATTTAATATAAATACTACTTGTTCAAACACTAAACAGGTAAACAAAAAGCTTAACCAAGGGAAGTCATCTACTAGATATTCTACACATTAAAGGGATTCTTGTTTGGGTATGAAAATAGGTGTTACAAATACCTACCTCCTACTTGTTCTGCTTCCTCCAGCCACTTGGACAATATTGATTTCAGTTTGCAGGCATTCTTGAAGCTCAGCTGCAAATTTTCAAATCGGCAGATAGTAGTTTGACTGAATTCAGAGCCATGCACAGCAGCCAGGGCTTCTCCAACATTTGTTTGGGTATAGCCTATCATAAAGTAATAAAGAACAAATATAGAAACCTTAAGTTTTCTACTATGACTGACTTGTATTAAGTCACATGGCCATTTATTAATACCCTGAAAACACACTTTTTTGGAGGGGTGGGGGGACGACATATCTATGCTCTTCTCTCTGCTCAACTTATTTTCCAGGGAGAATGCAATTTTTACTAGTGTGCTGGTTTCAGGAATACAAAATTCAAACTCAAGCTGCATACAGGTGTTTATTTCTAGCAGTAAGAATTTTTCTGAAATTCCAGCCCTCTGGCGGGAGAACTACAGAGGCAAGCTCACCAGCCACTGAGAACTGTACTCCCTAGGCCACCCCCACCCTTAGGGGAGCCCATTACTTGACAGCCTGTCCTCTCCCCTGCCTGGGAACAACATAGGCTATATCAATAGACAGCCCCCTCCATTTTAATGCACCCCAGAACACTTGCACATGGGCTGATTAAAAGCAGGAAAGTAGGGCCAGGGATACCTTCCATGAACCTTAGTCCTGGCTCTCTGGCTTTTAAATCACTGTGTGCACCAGCAGCTGAGCAGCACACATGACATTTAACGTCTGTGGGGCCAGTTCCTGGCTTGATGGACTTTGCAAGTCTTACCCTGAGCCCAATTCCTGATTCCTGGGCTTTGCAATCCATGCCCCCACTCCCTAACTGTGTGGCAGGAACAGCATTTAAAGCCTGGGGGCAGAAAACTGGCCTTGGAAACAGCCTCCCTGAGCCCAATTCCCAATCCCTGGGCTTTGTAATACTGCCCAGGATCAAGAGGCAGCAATGGGAAGCAAGAGGGAGACAGCAAAGCCCCACAGCCTCTTTCCCAAACAGCGGACTTGGGGGGAAGAGGCAGGGACCAGTAGCTGCTGCTCCCCTCCACTCCCAATGTTTGTCTCCCACTGCCTGGGAGAAGTGACAGCTGCTGCCCTTATGCCTTCTCAAGCCCGGGGTGACCCTGCAAAGCATAGGAACCTTTCCCGGCAAATCTGCTCCACCTGGTCCCTGGGAGGACTTAAGCCTTGGGGAAGTGTACAAGTGTTCATTCTCCTGGGAAAAACTCTCCTGGGATCCACTTCTACCTGATTGGAACTGGGCTTTTTTTTCTCTTGGAACTGTTATTTTTAGTCCAGGAGAAACAGCATAAATGCTTGTATACTAGTGGTTTCTACTGGGAGGGTGATGATTATCAGTTATGGACAAAATATCTTTCTAGATGGTGTCCTTTAATCTGAGGTGTTTGATGATGCTCACCAGCCCATTTTTGATCTCATATCACTTTCATGCTTGTGAAACTCCCTTGGTTTCAGTTGAGTTATACAAGTTACAGATCTGAGCTGGGATAAGAATCAAACCCCAGTGCTTTAGTTATTAAAAGCAAGGGGGTTTTGTGATATCTTTTCTTGGACCAACTGTATAGTTGGGACAGAATCCTGGGTAAGCTGTCAGGGACAAACTTTCCCTCTGCATGTTGTTAAATAGTGCTATTTGACCACTACAGGATGTATGTAGGGTCACTGCTGACTGCACAGTTACTGCAAATTTCATCAAGTGAGGCTCTGTAGAATTCCTCACAGAGAATTATGATTTAACTTTAAATGTCAGGGGTCTGTTTAGCCCATAAAAGAACAAATGAGCAAACAAAAAGAGTTAACAAAAACCCAACCTTGTGCTTTATGCTTAATTCTCAATAATCACATTCATTCTCAAAATTAATTACTGTAATAACTTATTACAGGAATCATTTTCAAACCAAGTTTGATTGTTGTGTCCAGCTGCAGTTTCTCATTACATACCTGGGCTGTTAATTCTTTGGGGAAGGAGCTTTCTATTACTGGATATATTTGCACAGTGCCTGGCTCAATGGCACCCTGATCCCTGAGTGAGCCTCTAGACAGTACCATTATGCACAGAAGAATGTAAAACTTATCATTTCCATTGCTGTTTCCAGGAATGAACTTAACCATCAGTTGAGAGTTTTACTGTGTACTTCAGATTTCTCAGGCTTTGTAGATTTCGGTCAAACTTAAAAGTTACAGCTGTGATTCAACCCGAGTGCTGCGAGACCTTGTGGGGCACTGGACTACAGTAGCACAATTAGCTTTGCAATCATCTGTATATCATTCACAAGATAAACCCAAAGGTTTCAAATAGGAATTTCTACTGTCAAAAACATTCTGACTCGTTGTGACCCTGAATTCTTTGCAACTAAATAATTCCTCTTTAATTTTCCTGTAGTCAAAAAAGGAGTTAAGGCTGAGAACTGGCATTTTCTGAGGTGTACCTTTAAATCCAGTGAGGGTGTTTTGCATCTATAAAGAGTGAGAATGGCTGACTTACAGAAAGATTTTCAGAAGACACAAAAAAATTCTTGAAGAAAAAACAGATTTTACCCAAAGAACCTTGTCCACTTAAAGAAAACCCATCACTTTTGTCTTGATATTACTCATCTTGTTGATTCTCTAACATTTGTTTTCTTAACCTCTTCTTAACATGATCTTACTTTTGGAATGGATTTCAGAATGATTCATGGGTGCAGATTTATGCCTACTTGCATAGTACCTGAGAGTTGAGAGACAGACCTGAGAGTTGATTTAACCAGACACTGGAAAAACACACCAGTACACATAGGGCTCCTATGATGACCACGAAAGGTGACTACCACCTTGCCCAGCTACTAGGATATCAGGGAAAAGCAGGAATAGTCAGAATGCACATGCACTGAGGCAATGTATGGCTGCAATTTTGGCCCCATGTGGGATTTTTGGGGGGCTAGTGAAGCCCCTGGATATACAGGTACACAACAAATTCAGGGTCAGGGTGGGGTCTCCAAAATCCATTGAGTATACTTGGCCATACTCCAGACATGACTCTGCATTTCTTTCCCTCCTCCTCCACCTGGGCCAGTCTTACAAGGTACTGAATAACTCCTGAGAGGTGCCAAGAGCATGCTTACTGATTTCAGCAAATATTGTCAGTACTAAGCATTGCATGATGTCAACTTCTGCCTAGCAGGTCGTTATCCACTTATTAGGCTTCTTGTGTACATCACATGTTTATCAGAAATGGCACTAAACCCAGTGCTGGGGTCCTATTTCATTTAGTAGGAATTTTGTTCTTATGTGTATTTAGAAGTAGACCACTGTGAATAATTACCCCTGAAACAGTCTTGGGTTCTGAAAATCTTGCCCATTCTCTGACTGACACAACTAAATAGTCATAATATACAGCAACTGCAAATAATTTTCCAAACAGATTCCCACTGTTGTCCTCATTTCTGTACCATAACTGGAAGATAATATCTCTCTAGGCATAGAATTAATACACAGATGCTTCTAAGTCTCATAAATTACTTGATTTTATAGCATTTGAATTTACAGTAAAATGGAATACTCTGTAATGATATATTGTTATAGAAGATAAAGCCAAGAATATGACTCTTAATGCATAAAGATTTTGTATTTGTTAAGATTCTGTATTTGCAGTGCTCAACACACAAATGTCGTTTTTCAATATGGCACAGAAAGTACAGGATAAGCTTCCTCACACTGCCTTCCTGGTGTCCTTCAACCTTGTTCCAGGGGGGAAGAAATCTCTAGAGGACAAGGGATAATCCAGCAATCACGTTCATTCAGCCTTTGTACTTTCCTGAGGCTACCAGCAGATATGATGTGGGGATCTATTAACCAGGAACCAACATGATATTATTCATTCATTTTACATATTTCCCAGTAGGCACCAGATGGTAACAAAGTAAGGTCACCACCATGCACACCAATGGTTAAGTATATCAAATAGGAGATAGCAGTACTGCCAATTTACATGCACCAGACCTCATGCCCATGAGGTCTGGTGCATGTAAGTTGGCAGTACTGTTATCCCAAGTGAGATGATATGGCATCACCTTGTGTAACAGAGCATGTCATGGGAAAGAGAACTGGGACAAGGGAATACATCATTTACTGTAGGAAGCTGCAAAAAAGCTTTAGCTTATGATGTGTCATATATCTCCCCACCAGAATAAAGCTAATTTAACAATTAGCTCTCTCTGGGTAGGAAAACCGGGAGTACTATGTACAGCAAAAACTCTTAAAATCTTGACTGCAGTAATCTTCAAAAAAAAAAAAAAAAAAGCTTATTAATTCTATAAAAATCTTCCAGACTTGGGAAAGCCTTGACAAAGGTAGCCTAACATATTATAAGGTATATTAGATTAGAAGACAAAACATGCAAAACTTGGGCTTTCATTTGTTTTTTCTAGCTGTCATCATCTGTCAGAAAATACATACCCAGTTTAATTCTCCTGAGTTTGAACTCATTAGCAAACTTCTCCAGCTCCCTGATTTCAGGGGAATCCATATCTATTGGCTCTTCAACAGACTTGGGTTTTCTACGGAATTCCTGCTTGAAGTCAGTAGCGGTTGGATCGTCTCCAAGAATAGTCTGGTGCATGGGTGTGAAGCCATGGCTCAGAGCACAGGAACTGGCACTCAGGGCATGTTCAGGGAATTTATAAAGGCAAGGAGTCAAGCTACCTGCATGAAGCCAAAAAGAAAACTCAATACAATTATACTCCAACAGTGCACTGAAAATGTGTTCAGCTTTGTAATCTTACAGAACAGAGAAGAAGGGTGGCCTAGAATTTAGGACATCAGCCTGGAACCTGCTGTCACTCTTTACATCAGTTTTCCAGGTGTAGAAAGGAAATTATAGCACTAATCTTTTCCACAGGCATGGAGGCTGCACTCAGATGCATAAGTAGGGCATTTTAAATACCTTAGGCACATGGATATTTGACTTGGTCCTTAACTGCTGCAAAAAATCATAGCTTCATTGAAGTGAAAGGATTTATCAACCCACACCTATTTAGGATTTGGCCTACAGTCTTTTTGTTTTGGAATACTCTAACAGATTACTACATTTAATGTTCAGATTGGATTTTATATGGGTTTGAGTCAATGGGAGATTTATTTGAGCAAAGTCAAGATGTTGCCTAGAATGTTATAAGATATTCACGATTATTTCAACTTTAGGACAAAAAAATGTACTGATTTTTGTTCACTCCTATTAGAACAAAATGTGTCATTTAATCAGGATTAATGTTCTTTCTTACTAGGCACCATGTGCATGAACAAGCGCACACACAGACTGTTTAGGTCACAGGCAAGGCAGATAAAGCACAGGGGAAAAAATCCCCAAGAAATATGCAATGCTTTTTACAGATGGGAAACAAGGAGAATAAGATATTTCTTAAAGTACTAGGTACTTCACCCCCCACTGAAATCAAAGAGGCATAAGCTTTTGTTGGCTATAGCCCACATTGTCAGATGATATGAATGGACTTGCAGAGAGCAGGGGTATTAAAGGAATAAAGTAATTTCATTACAAATGATAGGAAAAGGAGGGACGTCTGGGGGGAGGAAGCACTACTGAGAGAGAAGGTAGGTTGATGAGATCAAAAGGGGCACACAAACCAGTGAAGTATGATGTCAACAAAGACTCTGGATTCTTATTTCATTACCTGGACTAACCTTTATAACTCGCTATGTGTTCCTCTATGCTTTGTTAATCCCTTTTGATCCCTTCAACACACCTTCTCCTCTCAGCACTGACCCATCCCCCTATCCTTTCCTCCATTTGTCCTGTCCTTTGCATTTAAATTACTTAACTCCTTTTTATTTAGTACTCTTCCTCTCTGCAAGTTCATCCATAGCATCTGATGCAGCACACTATTGCTTACAAAAGCGTATGCCTTTCTGAACAAGCTGGTCTTTAAGGTGCCACCCTGCCATGCCTTTTGCCTGACTAAGATGGCTAACCATCTCTCTGTACTGAAATCAAAGGGATCCTCAGAGGTGCATAAGTAACTTTTGGATTTAGGCCTAGGTGATTGCCCAGAAGTCACATACACAGCTTGTGACAGACTCAGGATTTGAACCCAGAATTCCTGAATGCCATCCCAATAGCCAAGCAATACCAGGTTCCCTCCCCAACCTTTTTCATCCTTTTTCTGGCCCTTTTCTTGTGCTGTTCATTGCTTAAAGTAAATCTTCCAGAGAGTCAGAAGTTTAATAGAGGTTCTAACATTAATACATTTGTTAGGTCCCTTATACTATGGCTGCAAAAAGATTTGCCAGAAGTGAAAGGGGAAAAAAAAAAGACTAAGTAAAAGGACTTGCTTTGTAGAGTGCCAACTCCATTTACCACATTGGGATGGGGCATGCTGCATGTCTGTAAAATTCGACTCTGGGAGAGACTTGCTGATAACATCTCTGGAGTTGCAGGCTTGATGCCTAAAAGGAAGGGGGAAAATAAAGCAGAGAATTCCAGAACATTGACTTCTTTTGCAAAATAAATAAATTCATATTTCAAACTGGAACCCCTTTTTGCCACATAATTCTTCAAAGAACTTCCCAAAGAACTCTAAGGGACACCAAGAAGGTTTGCAAGAGACACAAGAGAAAAGTATGAAATAGAAGTATTTGACTGTGTGTGCAGAGTAAAAGTTTTTTCTGTCCCAAAAAAACACTTACTTTTCCCATTTCCTCCATTCTTATGTAATATATTGTTCTACCTACAGTTGACCCTGTAAAAATTGACCCCTCCCACCCCTTTTTAAGATTCAATTTTAAGAAAAATAGCTTGTTCCCACCCAGATACATACTGATAAGTACAGATAAAGTCCTTGAACCTCTATTATCTTTTCAAAATCCCATAGGCAAATCAAACAACACACTACTGTTAAGTGCAGCGGTCAGCTCAAATCTGACTGTCTCTAAAAGTGTGAAAAGAGTACATCTAGCTAATCTGTGTTTCAGAACAATGAAACATATTAGTGTCTTTTACATAGTTTAAATTCCACCTCAGACATTTTGGTTTACATTTTCAGGATCCCAAGTATGTTCCAAATAATTAATGGCCACTTCAAAAACTAGAATAGGTTTTAAATATTGAATATTCACTGTGCTAAAATATGTACTTCTGAGGCACTGCTGTATGTTTCCTGCCAGCTCACTGTGTGTGGTGTTTCCCGTCTCAGTGGCTCAGGTAGTGACTTGCCACATGGACTGCCCTTATCTGGAGAATTAAGGCATCCCAGCTCCCTGCTTCCTACAGTGAAGCCAGTAGTCTGAAAGCCTCAAGCCTCAGATGTAATAGGTACCAGGTGCTTAGTATGTCAGAACTCCTAGCTTTATGGGACACGTGGTGGAGCAGACCAAGGAAATCTCCAGAAATTACAGAGTGATGGTGACCTTGGTCACCCATTTTTTGTAACATCTTTTCACCACTATGATGGCACCCTATGTTACACTCTGAACAACCACAGTGGCAGGCCCTTAACAGTGTTGTGCAATATCATCCGCTCTGTTATCATGGCAGCAAAGCAGATGATCTTGCATGGGTCAAAATACCTGGCTCTGAAAGGTATTATATAGGGTTATTGACTCCATAAAATAGAACCATATCATTCTGATTATAGTTGGACCCCATGTATGTCTGCTATATTTATGGTTCTTCTTGAGGTAGGGATAAGATCAATTTATAACCTGAGCAATATGCTAAAATGAAATGCTTTGTTTGAATCTGGAATAGCTTTGAAAGATGGTTCTCTTGTCCTGCTATCCTGCTCTATTCTGCTAGTTTCTACTTAACTTCATTGGGTGTGTCTACATGAGATGCTTTATTGTGTAGTAGTGTAGTTTACCACACAGTAAGCAGGTGTGTCTACATGTGCACACGCTAACTGTGCAGGGAACCTTGCTAATCACAAGTAAATTTGCTACCTGGAAATGCAAGTAGCAAATTTACTTGTGATTGCTTACTGGCAAGGTAGCACTCATGTAGATGCCAGACCGGAAGCAAATCTGCTGTTTGTCAGCTGGCTACCAGGGGACAGGAGATTGCTCCCTGCCCTTGGGAGCTGCCTGTTACCAGGGCAGGCTTTGCCACTGGAGCCTGGGTACTGACTATGTCCCCCAGGGAACTCCAAGCCCCCCTTTCCAAGTTCGCAACTGGGGAGCAGGGGCCTGGGAGATCCTTATCTCCCAGCTCCAGCTGCATGACAGCAGGGCTGTCACAGGAGATCCTTATCTCCCAGCCCAAGCTCCATTGTCACAAGGCCTGCACTGGAAGATAAGGATCCTTATGCCTTAATTCTCCAGATCAGAGCAGTCCATGTGGCAAGTCACTACATGAGCCAGTGAGACAGGAAACAACACACACAGTGAGCTGACAAGGATCTCTCAGCACTGGCTCTGTGACCATGGGGCTGGCACTGGGAGCTCTCTGCTGGCAGGGGCTGGGGAGCCCCCACCCACCTCCTTGATTCTGAAGTGGGGTGGGAGCTGGTAACTGTCCGGGTCAGGAGCAGGTCCCAACCCTGTGCCCCAATCAGGTGATTGAGACCTGGGGCTTGGAAAGAGCTGCAAGGGTGGCGTTGGTCCCAGCCACCTGCCTCAATCTGCCAGTGGTGCAGCTAGCAGTGAGCTAGCTGCTCCACTAGCATATTGGGTCAGAGGGCTGGGACCTGCCCCTCCCTTGCAGTTCTGTCTAAGTCCCATGCCCCTGACTGGGGATCCGGGGCCAGGAGCTCCCTGCTGCTGGGGCAGGGGGACATTGGCCCTGCCCTGGGCAGCAGGCAGCCCTCTAGGGGCAGGGTGCAATGTCCCAGCCCTGGCCAGGAGACAGCTGGTCCTAGTGCTCCCTGCCAGCACTCTAGCCCCTGGGCCAGCCCCAGACCAGCACCCCTGGGCTTGCAGGACCCCAGGAAGTGGAAGTAGTTTTCTGCCATTAGCAGCAAATCTGCTCCCACTTCTCTGTATGTGTAGATGCCTGCCCAGGAGCATTTACTTGCAAGTAATTTACTCATGAGTAAACTGCTTCTGAATCAAATGCATATGTAGACACACCCATTTTGAATAACAATTTATCTATGGCTTGATGGGTCACAAACTGCTAACACATGCTCAGAAGTAATATTAAAGTCTATAACCATCTGCATGGAAGTAGTTTAGTATTGCTGCATGAAATTTGAAAAAAATATCAATTTTATTAAACTCTTTGCCCTGTATACAGTTTCTTTCCCTCTGAAGGACTGGCTTTGTCTCCTTTCAGCAACAGGACCTCTTCAACTAGGCCTGTTGAATGTAATCTAGTAGAAAGTAAAGGACTATTATAAATAAAAAATGTATTTAAAATCTTAACATATTTTTAATCATAAAGCCTGCAACAATTGCTATGTCTCTGTAAGAATAATGCTTCTTATTTATTAAGAAACTAAATCACTAAATCATGCCAAGTATGGCATTTTCTTTGATGTTTTATAACTACTGTATAGTGGTAAGCCCCCTTTATCACAACACAGTGGATGGCAGGGCAATTCTAATAGGCGACATCTATTAGATGCTCATCTCTAACCTCAAGCTACTCTGTTTTGCATCATAAAAGGCCAGAAAGGAAGAGCAGCAAAAATATATATTTTTAATGCATTATCCCTCCCTTCTCCAAGATAAGGAAAAAAGGTGAGGACTTCTTACTGGCCAATAGAACATTCAGAAAACAAAGCCCAAAAACAAGGAACTGCACATTCCCTATTTTGTCTTAAGTTTCACGAGCCCTCAAATTACACTATTTATAAGGAACTTGTTTTTTTCTAGTGTACTGCACCACAGAGTTATGATCATGAACCAATACTGTCATATATGAAACAGGGTGAGCTAAATTCACCAAATGTCAGTAATTATTATTTTTTATTTCATAGTACTTGGATGCCCCAGCTGAGGTTAGGGGCCTATTGCGCTAGGTACTGTACAGTTGTATCATGAGAAACGGTCCTTGTCCCACAGAGATTACCAGCCAGAGTGTAACAGAAAAGAAATGTTATCTCTGCTCCATAGAGAGAGAAATGAGTTACGGAGATGTACCCCACAGTCACACAGGAAGTCCATGGCATCACTTGAAACAGAAAGGGCCTTACTTTGATGTTTTAACCACAAACTGGTGCTTCCTCTCAGTGTCCTCTAACTCTTCAGCCCCTCTGCAGGAAAATCAGTCAATCCATCAAGCCAATAATTCACGTGTTAAGAGCTATTATCTCTTACCTGCCATTACTCCATAGGTAGTCTGTTGGTTTCCATAATGACAAGAAGGGACTGAATAATGAAGACCTGCCGGTGTGTTTCCCAAAGTCGTCATGGAGAAGCATAAATGTGAAGATTTAGGAGTTTGGATCAAAGACAAAATAGATGGGACTGGTAAGAAAATATATAAGGATTCGAAACACATCTGTTCAGTCCAGAGATTTAAGTGTATGCATTATATTTTATTTCCCTCTGCATACTAACAATTTACAGTGATTCTTAACTATCAAGATACAGTATAACTTCATAAATCTGAATATCAAATGTCCAGAATTATCAAAAATCTGGCACTTTTTAAAACTGCACTAGATTGGGGAGTAACAGTGGCCAGTCCGGGAGCAGTGGATTGGGGAGCTTGCACTTGATGGCTGCTGTTGCTATCCACCACCCTGTGCTGCCACTCTGCATGTGGTCGCTGGTCCAAGACTGACCACTGCTCTGGAACCAGCTGTTGCTCTGCTTTAAAAAATTAAGACTTTTCAAATTTCTGGCAGGTGCTCGGTCCTGAGCATGATGGATTCATAAGGTTATACTGTAATTCTGTTGGAAGCCTATGGTAACTCATGAAATGTCTCAGCAGATTAGACAGCCAGATAGAAAACTGGAATGGCCACTTTTTTCCCCAAGAACAATGATTTATCATGCCAAATTGTTAATACACAGAAAGATGTAGACTCACACCAATTGAAGAACAAAAATGAATGCTACTGTATGTTTAAGGAGATCAGGTCCCCAGTACCTATATTTTCAAGAGGAACAATTTGGGATGCTCACTTGAGACACCTTAGAAGGCCCTGTTTTCGGAAGCTTGGGGCACTTTGCAGGGGTCCTCTAAAACCAGCCCCTCAAATGTGTTTCATGATAGACAGGAAAGAGAAAGCAAGATACTCCAAATCATTACCAACTATGAACATTAGGCCTAAAGAAACATTTGCTATTGCAGCAGCACCTCTACATACAATGCATTGAATAATCAGAGTCCCCACAAGTGGCAGAAATGTATTTTAGGTACTCTACAGCAAGCTTGCCCAACATGCGGACCTCCAAGCTGATTTCTGAGGCCCAAGGTGCTGCGATGGGAAATAAAAGTAAACCCTGTACTTTTGTTTCAGGGGGGTGATGTGATACCACTTCCTGTGAGGTCTTTGAATATGGTTTGCCGGCCCCCTGGGTGATAAAAAGTTCATGATCTGGCCCCACATTCAAAAAGGGTGGACAGCCCTGCTCTACAGGCACCCTGCAGCAGCTGATATGACTTGATGGGAGCATCTATGTGATGTTGAAAAAGGCTAAAGTTGAACAGGTTTTTCTATGCTTATACAGCTACAGAATTAAGCAGGTGTAATAGGTATATCATAATAGCTTTTATCAGTATCCATTGATAGCCAGGGAATTGTTACCTCTGTCTATACCCTTCGAGAGCTGAAAAGGAAAAAGAAGCAGGACCTACATTTTGCTATTACTAGGAAGGACCATGGCTCTCCAGTAACAACTGTATTGGTCTCTTGGGGCAATATTTTCACTGACAAGATATTCCTCAAACATCACGGTATTCCTAGCTATTGAGGGGTTTTGGCCAACTTCTGAAAGGAAAATATCAATAGCCTGGGCTGGCTCTAATCTCTGCTTTCAGTGCCATCCATCCCAAAAACCTCCTATGCATTTCTGCATGAAAAAGCTGGTTGTTATTGCTTCTTTTGTGTATTAAAGATATACACAGATGGAAAACTGCACCCAGGAATATGAAAATATTGTCTACTTTTTAGTTACCCTAGAGAATAAACAGAAATTATAAATTCAATGGAGCTGTCTATTCTGTGCCTGAAGGTTTCTCTATGTAACAAAGACCCTTGGCTACTCTATCAGGGAATCAGAACGCATTGGGGGAGGAAGTACATCGCTCTCTGAAGAAATGTTCAGAGGGCCAGATCTTCAGCTAAGGATCTGGTCCGTAAAATTTTAGATCATGTAAATTTGTTCTTATTTAAAGAAAGAACCACAATTTGATACATACATTTCTGGCCATGGGCCCTACTAATAATAGAAATAAAGACTAATAATTATCAAAATTCTGGTTCTTAGAACTACATATTAGTGATGTATATTTACATTGCATACTGACATAATTGTGTGTTAGGGATTTCATTATTTCAACCAATGTATTTATAATGTTACACCCATCTTATTAATGAAATCTGATTAATAAAAATATACCAATAAAAGGAGTATAAGGTTATAGCACTATAGATGTATTTACACTATACTTCTTGTATATACTACTACTATATATCACATTATAGTATATATACTTCTCAAACAATACAGGGAGAGTGAATTAGAGCTGTAGCGTTAAAGTGGTAGTTAGCACAGGTTTTAAAATTATTTGTATGTTATGAAACCATTCCAGTTATCAGTCTGCTAATTCACACACTTCATCATTTTCTGCCATAAAAAAACTGGCCTTTCTAGCTTCCTAGAGAACATATAAGAATTGGTGCTGGAAAAGTATTCCATCATCAAAACTTTATATTTAAATTAAATATAGTATAGAACACTTATCTGTGTGCTATGAATATTACTGTAACTGAGTGTACTTACCTACATTTTAGGATTCTTTTTGTGCATTAAATGAGACAATCATAGAATATTAACACATTTTCAAAATTCAATACTATTCAATAGATATATGGAGGCTATAAACATTGTGAAAGCTTTTGACAGTTAAAAATAACACAAAATTATGTGTAAATATCTTCATACATTTCATTATTTGTACAAGTTCTTTACATGTTCGCACTATAGTAGCACTGTTGGCATTGTCTATTATAAGTCTTGCAACCTATATTTAAAATTGAGAACATTTTCACCATCACAGGTAAATGTTTTCTATTACTGCTCAGTTTCTTATAAGGCTATATTCTGGCTTTTTTATTGAATTAGTCTTCATAGCAAGAAAACACAGCAATTCCTGATCCTGCAGTCTTAGTTCAGACAAAATTCCCATTGGCTATAATTGAATTTGGGTTTGTATAATGACTGAGATTCGGCCTATGACTATTAAAAGCACGAACACAAATCTAAATCATGTAAATACATGTAAACATACACAAAACTATTAGTAACATTTTCTGCCAACATGCGTTTAATTCCTTACCATGAAGCATATGAAAAAAAAATCAATTTAGAAAACGCTGCCATGGAATTATTGCCAAACTTTAGCTTCTTGTTCATATTTTAAAGAATAATTTTTCCCCTAACACTTTGCTACATTATTCTCTTATTAAGACTTGCAAATTTTAGTCTACAGTGCTTAATATGGTGGTTCATTTTTATTCTTATTGACGGGTTTTTGTTTCAAGCATGCTTAATGAGAAATCATTTTATTGAATGCTCAAAGTACAACTCTTACCTCAGTACAACATTAATTGAATCAATAATATAATTAAGATTAATATTCAATTCTTTATTTCTGGAGAACATTAATATTCCAGTGATAAAAATTCAGGTTCTGTACATCTTGAGATTACAAGTAATTTTCCTGTCTATTAAGTAAGATTTGATTCTTGAGTAGCTTTCATTTATAAACTTTTATTACTCACAGTCAAATTTGTAGTCAGATAAATGTACAACATCCTAAGATAAGGAATGGAACTTGTGCTCTAAGTTTCTTAGGCATTTCCGAAAATCCTTTCAATATTTAGATTCAGATAAGACCAAAAAGAGTTTAAAAAGGAATGTTAAAGAGAGTATTGTTCTGACTATAATAAATAAATAAATAAGTACCTGTAGACACGACATTAGTGGCATGGCTGGAGACTGGCAAGCACTCTGCAGCACTATGATGCATCATCAGTGGCAGAGCAGCAGAAGAGTCCGAATTCAAGGGTACAAAGGTGTCAGATGAAGTAAATGCTTGACAACTCATTCCCACAGAAGGAGGAAACACAAAGAAACCCCTTCTCCTATTTTCTAACACAATATATCCTGAGTGATTAAGAGCTGCTCAAACTGTATTTCAGTTCTTTTTACTTGCATATATACATAAACAAGGGCTCCAGAGCACAGGGAGGTCGTGTGCAGGTATTTATACCACTAGGAAATCCCTTTATCCATTTTAATATTCTTTCCCCAGCAGTATTGCTATATCAGCATAGAGCCTCCTTCCTTCCCACCCAAATACAATAGATGCCCAATTAATGGTGGGAGAAAAGGGAAACCGGAGATGTGATTTGACAGATACTTTAAATGAAGGCTTTTGTGAAAGAACAATAAATCAGAAAAAAATAGTGTCTCCCAAGTTTGTAGGAGTGAGACAGGTACAGTTAATGCTGAAGAGCTTTCCAGAGCTAACACCTGCCCCAAAAATCTCATACTGGCAATTGTTTTGAAGGCAATTTGGCTGAGAACTCAAATAGGAGTCTATGAAAGTCCAGAATTTATAAGGAAGTAATTGACACTTATCTAATGTCAGTTGCGAAACCTCTTGTCTTTTGACTTGTTGTGACTGAATAAATCAGAAACACATCACAAAGTAAGCATTTCTGGAGCAGAAAGCTTTATATAAGCATTAACTGCTACATGTTTGTATAATATACATTATATTCATTAACCCCCCCTGCAGATATCATATATATTTTAAAGTCCTGAAAGAAAACAACGTACACATGCTATATATGTAAGCAAAATATAATTTGGTTTATTTCAGTTAACATTTGTTACTGAAGTGTACTGGGTCTTTACAAAAATTTGAGGGTATTTCGATTATAAAAATATTGTGTATAAAAATAGTGCTCACATGTGTGC